CCACTTACCCCTGCAGAAACCACTCAAACCTGGGTTCAGTTTTCCAGTTTTCGTTTTTAATCCAAAAAAATAGCCAAACACATCTTCCTTCCATCCCACCCCCCACCTAAAGTGTGTTCCTTTTGCTGTTGTTTTGCTTAATATCTCCAGGCAAGCAGCTCCCTCTGCCCCAGCCTTCCCAAACCTCTTTCCCCTCTTCCCACCATGGCACAGCCCAAAGGGACCCTGGCCTCGGGGCAAAATCCACCTAAAGCAGAGGGAAACCCACATTATTCCAGCCCTGTGCTGGTTCTAATCCCGCCGGGAGATTATAGGAAGGAAAAGAAAGGAAAGAAAAAGCCCAAATGAAACCCACCAAACAAGTAGCGACAAGCACGGAGCAGCCCCAGCACACAGTGTAAACAGGAGCTGTCCCGATCCAGAGCCTGGCGTTCCCAGATAGCGACAGCACAACATGCTTTGTACATCCCATAATGTCCCCGCAGCGCTGAGCAGCGAAGGGAAAGGGGGAGTTGGAGGATTTAAGCTCAAGTTGATCGATTGGTTTTGGCCTTGATGCAAAAGGCTGAAGTGATGCTGGGGAGTTTCCGAGCGGCACCGAGGAAAAGGGATGAGGGGAAAAGTGCTATGGGATTGGGATTGAGGGAGCCCCACAAGTGGAGACACAGACAGAAGGTCCTGGGGCTTTGCAGCTGGGAAATGTGGACAAGAATCATAGACTAATGATGGGAAAGAGCAAACAAATCCAAACCAACAGAGCTATAAACGCAACCTGTGTGGATGGAGGATGAGGACAGTGCCAGCAGAGCCCCTGCCGCCCCCCCAGAGCACGAATAATAAAATTAATAACAATAATAATAATAACAATAAAAAAATCCCAGTTGAGGTGAGAGTGAAGAGTCCAAGAGAATCCCCTTCCCTGGGGGGAAAGAGAACTCCAAATGAGGTACCTGTTCCACCCCAAAGCTGTGCCCCCTTCCAGTCACACCACCGCTTGGTGTCCCTCAGACATCAACCCTCCGTGACCGTGGCGCAGTGTCCGGTTCCTCCCCGTTGGGCTGTTGAGCAGAGATCCAGTCTCTCCAGGACCCTGCAAACAGGGGGTGTTGTTCAGTGCTCCACAGAGCTGTTGCCAGGTCTCCCATGTTCCTCCAGCTTTTTGTGTGTTTAAAAACCCCCAAATTAGAGAGATCTCTATTATATACAGGACAATGAAATAGCCATGGAAACAAATGGGGTGGCTGGAAAAGACGCTTAACAAAAAAAGCTTCAAATAAACCAAATTCCCAACTCTGTCCCAAATTGACGCTCGCTTTCCCCACTTAGTCCTCCAAGACCACAATCTCCACGTTATGGACCTGGTGCTGATGGTCCTCCACATCTCCCACCACTTTCTCCTCAGTCCTCAGCTCTGTCTCCAGGATCACGGCTTTCCCCTCCGCCTCTTCTGTATCTGCTTCGGGATCTGGCGCCGGGTCGATCTCTATGATGGTCTGCCCATCCTCCGAGGTGCCCTCCACGGCTTGGATGGTGGAGGTGAGGCCAGACTCCATGGCCACCAGCTCCACAGGGTTGACCACTGTGGCCACGTTGGCCAGGGCACCACTGTCCTGCATGGCCGCCGAGCTCAGCAGCGCCAGGCTGGAGGACGGGTGGAGGGTGACGGTGTCGGAGGAGCTGGTCTTGGAGGAGGACACCACGGTGGCGTAGCGGAAGAGCTGGGAGCCAGAAGGCAGGGTGTGAACAGTCACCGGGCTGGAGCCTTGGCTGATGGTTGCCACCGGGATGTTCCCAACGGAGAACTGCTGCCCGACGGGTGCGATAGCGATGGGCGAGATGACGG